GTTTTCCCCATGCATGCGTGGGTTTCCTCCGGGTACTCTGGTTTCCCCCGCAGATCACAACGTGCCCTATAGGTTATAAATTGTAAGTCGCTTTGGATAAAAGCGTCTGCCAAATAAGTAAACATGAGCTAACCCAATGCAGAGGTGGGAGCTAAGCCAACGGAGGTAGCTACATAGCTACAACCAGAGTTAACTGTGCACAACACCAGAGCTTCTGAGTCAGAGATGCGCCGGGCTGACCGCTGGGTAAAACCGGGTGGAACACAGAGGTCTCTGAGAGCTCCACAAGCCGGCAGCCGCACAGCAGTCAAGCGCCGCTGCGATCAGAGCAAGCCCCCACAATGCGGCTTTAAAATTGACGCCAACCCGGAAGTAGCAAAAATTGCAGTTCCACCCTCATCCACTAGGGGCTGGTGTCAGAAGCGAGCAAATCCTCATTGACTCCCATGTTAAAAATACCAATTTCACAGCAGAAATAAACATGTTTACAGCCTGGTTCCAAAACATGTTTTTGGTTTAAATGATCTAGTTTACACTCATGACAACTCTGAGGGGGGTGAATTTTTTTCTCACTCTTCTGTTTAAGTGTATTAAAAGCCTAAAATTCTGTATAATTAATGAGCATCAGACCCACGTGACCACAGAAATAGCTCTGTGGAAAGGCCTCAGTAGAGCCTCAGTCTGGCTTGGAAACTGTTCCGGGATTTTGAGTCTCTGTGTTTGTGTATTCTTTTTTGGATATTTTTTGTGCAATTGTTGGACAAAATGACTTGCTGTGTCATTAATTGCACTAATAGAGCATCCAAGGAGTCTCCACTTCATTTTTTTTTTCAGTAAGTAAAATTATATTTATGTATTTTAGGTCACTGCCGAGCTGAGCTTAGATTTTAACATGTACTGTTTAACCATGAAATTTAAATGTAATAGGGTAAAACCCAGTGCATTTAACATAATGCTGTACTTTAGAAAATGGGTTGAAATATAACATGTTGGTGGAGCTGGGTTCCGAATATCGGCTTATGGAGCTTTCGGGAGACCGATGTTTTCCACCCGGAATGTCGGCTGTTTCTCCCCGCAGCCCGGTCCATCTCTGTCTGATCGCGGCTTCTGTGTGCTGCGCGGGCTGACGGCTTGTGGAGCTCTGGGATGGAAACCTTTCCACCCAGTTCTCCCCAGTGGCAGCTCTGCACATCTCAGATCGCAGCGGTGCTTGTCTGCTGTGCGGCTGCCAGCTTGTGGAGCTCTTGGAGACCTCTGTGTTCCACCCGGTTTTACTCAGCGGTCAGCCCGGCGTATCTCTGACTCAGAAGCTCTGGTGTTGTGCACAGTTAACTCCGGTTGTAGCTAGGTTGCTACCTCCGTTAGCTTAGCTCCCACCTCCGCATTAGCTTTGGGTTAGCTTCAGGTTAGCTTGTAGCTAGTTCGACCGGGTGTCGTCAGTTGATCCCAGCCTTACAGCCCCACCCTCAGCTCCAACTCTCTTCCCTTTTATGGAATTGTCTGGGCTTGACGGAACCTGTGACACGGTCAAAATGGCGGTGGTGGCCACCTCCCATTTGGGCTCAATAAAGTGATATTGGAGCCTATGGAAAGAAGATGTCCACGTATATTATGTCGATGGATCAGAGATGCGCAGAGCTGTTGCTGAGGGGAGGGGACCATACCGATAGTCGGAACCCAGCTCCACCAACATGTCATATTTCAACCCATTTTAAAAATGCAGCATTATGTTAAATGCACTGGGTTTTACCCTGTTACATTTAAATTTCATGGTTAAACAGTACATGTTAAAATCTAAGCTCAGCTAGTGCAAGAGCGGCAGTGACCTAAAATACCCATCCATCCATTTTCATCCGCTTATCCGGAGTCGGGTCGCGGGGGCAGTAGCCTAAGGCGAGAGGCCCAGACTTCTCTCTCCCCAGCCACTTGGGCTAGCTCCTCCAGGGGAATCCCAAGGCGTTCCCTGGCCAGGTGAGAGACAAAGTCCCTCCACCGTGTCCTGGGTCTACCTTTAGGTCTCCTCCCGGTTGGACGTGCCCGGAAAACCTCACCAGAGAGGCGTCCGGGAGGCATCCTGAACAGATGCCCGAGCCACCTCAACTGGCTCCTCTCGATGTGGAGGAGCAGCGGGTCTACTCCGAGCCCCTCCCGAATGGCCGAGCTTCTCACCCTATCTCTAAGGGAGAGCCCAGCTACTCTTCAGAGAAAACTCATTTCGGTCGCTTGTATCCGCGATCTCGTTCTTTCGGTCACTACCCAAAGCTCATGACCATAGGTGAGGGTAGGAACGTAGATCGACCGGTAAATGGAGAGCTTCGCCTTCTGACTCAGCTCTCTCTTCACCACCACAGACCGGTACAACGCCCACATCACTGCAGACGCAGCACCAATCCGCCTATCGATCTCACACTCCAGTTTTCCCTCACTTGTGAACAAGACCCCGAGATACTTAAACTCCTCCACTTGGGACAGGACCACATCCTGATCCGGAGAAGGCATTCTACCCTTTTCCGAATCAAGACCATGGTCTCAGATTTAGAGGAGCTGATTCTCATCCCAGCTGCTTCACACTCGGCTGCGAACCGCTCCAGCGAAAGCTGAAGATCACGTTCTGATGAAGCCAACAGGACCACATGATCTGTAAAAAGCAGAGACCTGATCCTCAGGCCACCAAAACAGATGCCCTCCACACCTTGGCTGCGCCTAGAAATCCTGTCCATAAAGGTTATGAACAGAATCGTGACAAAGGGCAGCCTTGGCGGAGTCCAACTCTCACTGGGAACGAGCCCGACACTACCGGCAATACGGACCAAGCTCTGACACGGGTCATACAGGGACCTAACAGCCCATATCAGAGGGCCTGGTACCCCATACTCCCGGAGTACCCCCCACAGGGCCCCCCGAGGGACGCAGTCAAACGCCTTCTCCAAATCCACAAAACACATGTAGACTGGTTGGACAAATTCCCACGCACCCTCCAGGATCCTCCTAAGGGTATAGAGCTGGTCCAGTGTTCCACGACCAGTACGAAAACCACATTGCTCCTCCTGAATCTGAGGTTCAACAATCCGACGGACCCCCCATAATATTTATGTAGAGGAAATGATCTTTTTCTTATTAAAGAACGGACAAATATGCATGGCAGCAAAGGTCGTCACTAACATAAAACCTGCCATCACCGCTGACTGTCTCGTTGTCCTGCTGCCGTCTTTGGCAGTGTGTTGTTTGTAATTAAGCCCTAATTGTCCATTAATTAAAGAGGCGTCGCTGGGTGTAATTAAGGGAGTCTGACTGCTAATTAAAGCGTAGCCTCGAGTCGTATGCATTGCAAATTATTCAGCTGCTAGGCAGAAGATTCTGTCTTTCAGAGTAAAAGCGTGAAATAAAAAGAGGTGAGGTAAAAGATGCCCTTCTCTGTTCAAATGTTGCTGCTTTTTTCTGATTCCTGCCTTTTTTGCGGCTGTTCCTCAGCTGACTGTTCACGCCGCATCCAGCGGTGCAATGCATACTGTATGTGAGTTTCTGTGGACAGTCACGGTGTCCCTCTAACCATTTTTCTATGAATCTGATCGTCCATGCTTACAGTCCTGTAATTGGCCCCAGCGTAGCTCTGGTCTGGCCGGTGTTTCTATGGCGACTAGAAGCCACCTGCTGATTCCTTCTGGAGGTGTCCAGTGAGCCGATGAATTTGGCTGCTGCGCCCGGTGGAAGGATCAGCCCACTCAAATCTCACAGCGCCCCACTACCAGAGCGGTGGCCCCTTAAACCTACACAGAAGCACCTTTAGTTCCAGAGCGCTCTGGTACCCAGCCACTCCACTTAAATCCACCAGGCAAATATATTTGCTCACAGTCTGTTAATGTGCTGGACTCCGACTGGAATCGATCAGCTGGACGGACTCCGGTCAGACACTTCCCCACGAATTATTTCACCTGCCTTATCTGTGTAGCTGCTAATCAATGAGACTGCAAGATGCCTGGCTGACATGTCTTCTTAATAATTTAATACGGCAAAGCCTTTTTTTTTCTCTAACGACCGTTTAACCAGTTTCCAGCATTTTTAGTCAGCACACTGAATAATTGATCAGCTCTTTAAAAAAAAACAGCTAATGTTTTAGCTTTTGGCGCCGTACGTTCATCATCCATCAGCAGCGAGTGTCAAAAAGAAGCTGTTAGCATTTTTCTTTTAGCTGACAGATAAGCTGTGTGTGTGTGTGTGTGTGTGTGTGTGTGTGTGTGTGTGTGTGTGTGTGTGTGTGTGTGTGTGTGTGTGTGTGTTTAGTGTGTGTGTGTGTGTGTGTGTGTGTGTGTGTGTGTGTGTGTGTGTGCGTGCGTGTGTGTGCGTGTGTGTGTGCGTGTGTGTGTTTAGTGTGTGTGTGTTTAGTGTGTGTGTGTTTAGTGTGTGTGTGTTTAGTGTGTGTGTGTGTGTGTGTGTGTGTGTGTGTGTGTGCGTGTGCGTGTGTGTGCGTGTGTGTGTGCGTATGTGCTTGCGTGTGTGCGCGCGTGTGTGTGCGTGTGTGTGCGCGTGCGTGTGTGCGTGCGTGCGTGTGCGTGCGTGTGTGCGTGCGTGCGCGTGCGTGCGCGCGTGTGTGTGCGTGTGTGCGTGCGTGTGCGCGTGCGTGTGTGTGCGTGCGTGCGTGTGTGTCTGTGTGCGCGTGTGTGCGTGCGTGCGTGTGTGTGTGCGTGCGTGCGCGCGTGTGTGTGCGTGTGTGCGTGCGTGTGTGTCTGTGTGCGCGTGTGTGCGTGCGTGCGTGTGTGCGCGTGTGTGTGCGTGCGTGCGTGCGTGTGTGTGTGTGTGTGTGTGTGTGTGAGTGTGTGTGAGATATTTTTTTAATTAAAAACTATTAGTTTTTTTCATGCTCATTTCCTCATCCTTCTCTTTTTCTTTTATTCCATCTTTCCATCATGAATCATTCCCTCTCCTCAGGTTCGGGTTGCTACTGTTCGATAAACATTCCTTATACGGTGAGGATTTATTTTCTTTCTCTTTCTCTTTCCTAGGTGTTGGCGTTGGACCCTGACAGCGGGGAAAACGGGACGGTTGTGTACAGCATCAGTCCAGTAAACCCCTTCTACACTATTGACAGCAGAACTGGGAAGATCCGCACCAGCGGGGCCACTCTGGACAGGGAGAGTACAAACCTCAGAGACGCAGAACTCATGAGGACCATCATCGTCTCAGCTGTGGACCGTGAGTGGATATTAGATGTTAAAAATTGTTTTTATTTTATGTAATTCTATAAGATGGATTAAAATAGGCCCTTGCCACCAGTGGAATGTCTACCAGGGGGCAGTAAACATGGCAGGTTTTTGATGAAGGTACTAATCCTGATGCTCCATCTGGATGATTTAAGGTCAGAAGTGGTTTGATGGGAATTCGTGAGAAGAGGTTAAACAAACTGCTGTGGATCATTGTCAGTTCAGGTCTTCAGACAATCAGATTTAAACCGTTCAAGTCATTTTTATCCACGTTTACGACTTGTTTTTCTCATTAAACCCTTTTTAATCTGCTTAATATTTTATCATATAAACTTTTTATTTACGAAAAATCAAAACTGGAAAAAAGGTCACTTTAATTAAATTATAAGGGAAGCAGATGTAAAAATAAATTATACAATGAATTTTATTTGTCCATCAACTTAAAGAAATGCAAATAAATGAAAGAATTGCCTAAAATCTATTATAAGTCTGCATAAAAACATTATTTTATCAGTTATAAAAAATGAAAAAACATTATTCTGCAGATTTTCCGATAAAAGTAACACCAAAAAAGAGTGAGATTAATGATGGAGGACTTATTTAGGGTATTTTTGTTCATTTCATGAGTTTGTGCTGGTATTGGCAGGAAGCTTCAGCTTTGTCCAGTTCTTTTTATTTATTTTGTAAATAATATGTTTATTTTAATTATTTGCATAAAAATGTATTCATTCACTCATTAAAGCATACACTGAACCCGACCAGGCCAAACACTGATTGGCATCGTTATTATTATTATTGTTATGATTTATGATTATTAAGAATGAGAATATTAATACATGAAACAAATCAAAGCACTGTTCAAAAATACAGGTTAAAAAAATACATCAAATTCAAAGAAAAGTCAGAATGTGACTACGTTTTAAAAAGTTTTTTGCTGGAAAGCAGATTTATCCCTGAGAAGGGGGTGAGTGGAGTCTGTTTGGTGACTTTGTGCCTCTCTGGCGTCCTCTGTAGGCGGTTCCCCTCCACTACGTGCTCTAACAAGCGCCACAGTGACTGTCAACCTGCTGGACCTGAATGACAACGACCCCACCTTCCTCAACCTGCCGGCTGTTGCTGAAATCTCAGAGGGACTTCCTTATGGAACCACGTGTTTTAGAGTAAATGCCTCCAAAAATTGATATAAAGTTTATTATGACGAGTTATTTTATCCATATTTCCTGTCATTTTGTCACCTCCCTCTCTGATCCTGTCTCAGGTCCAGGTCCAGGATCCAGATGAAGGGAATAATGGTTTGGTGACGGTGGTCCTACAGATGGGGATGCCTCGCCTCGACTTCTACCTCAACTCCACCAGCGGCATCATAACCTCCACAGCGGTCCTGGATCGCGAGCGCATCGCTCAGTACTTTTTAAGGATCATCGCTTTTGATGCGGGGCAGTTCCCTCGGACTTCCACCTCCACTCTCACCATCGCAGGTGAGAGGCTGGATCTCTCTGAGCCGCATGACTGGATCTTTTTATTATGAGGAGCTAATTAAGTAGCAAACGCCTGGCCTCTAAGGAAGCCCCTGATGGGATCTCTAAAGAGAATGTGTTATGAAAAGCTTTGGGTGTAACAGATTGAATGGGTCTATTGGGATTATTTTAATCTAAGAGATGATTCTGATGATAAAAAGTCATGAAATACTTCTGAAGGAACGCCGTATTTGTGTTTGTGCATCTATCTGTGTCCTCATCTATTTCCGTGTGTGTGTGTGTGTGTGTGTGTGTGCGTGTGTGTGTGTGTGTGTGTGCGTGTGTGTGTGCGTGTGTGTGTGTCTCAGTTCTGGATGTAAACGATGAGACGCCCACCTTCGACCCTCGTGTGTACAATGTCTCCCTGTTGGAGAGTGTCCCTAGAGACTATGTTGTGTCACGCCTCAACTGTTATGACAACGATACGGGTCTCAACGCCGAACTTAGCTACTTCATCACAGGTCAGAGGTCACGGTGTTTACGTGTGCTTGTGTGTGTTCAAAAAATTTCAATTAAATCTGTTTTCTAATTATAATGAGGCATAATTAATTCAAACCAACCCTATGAACACTGTGAAGCAGAGGCGTGGAAACATTTCAAGAGGGAAAAATCCTCTGGTTTGTGGTTCTAGCGATGAGTTATGGTCGTTCTTTTAATCTTTACCCTTCAAAATAAGTGTAAAATAGAGTCATTAATAAAAAAAACTCAACATAAAACTGTTAGAAAGGGTTGAGCTACATCAACAGCCTACTAAACCCATTGTTGTAGAAAAGCTTGTGAGGGCCACAAAACGACTTAGGCTGCAAAAGCTAAAGCTTCAAATCTTAAACGATTCTTGAAAATCTATCTTTTTTTTTACTTTTATTGTCTAATGATATAATTACCAGTTTTATTTTGTGATGTGTAAAATTCAGAGATGAGGAATTGTGGCATTATCAAGTCGTCTCCAGGCCGTCTTCAGCATCTAAACCAGGTGATTTCAATCAGCACAGTGAATGAACTTTGTTCAGGTGCTGATTAGAACAAAATCATGGCGTGGAGATGACTTGTTGATCTCTGGTAAAATCATCAAACTGTTATAAAGAAGTCAAACCGGCCCTTGCCGCTTGCAGATCCTCCACCAGGGGGCAGCAGACATGTAGAGGACTGGATATGGTAGGTTTCTGATGAAGGGACTAATCCTGGTAGCCTGGCCTGCCAGACTCGCCCTCTGTTTAATTCTGCACAGAGAATGAGTCTGGTAAGTCACAGGCAGAGAGGCACTTGAGGGGCGGGACTAGGCAGCTCAAATTAACCAATCAGAAAAAAGATGGAAATCCCGACTGCATCGCACCACGCGGTAGTTTTCTAGCTGTAGTAGAAAAAAATGGTGTCTGGCAACAGCGCAAACATCTTTTATTTTTTAGAATAAATGCTCTTATCGCTTCTACTAGTGGTTTTAAAGACATTTGAGTCATTTAGAACAGAGAAAAGAGCCGCAGCGAACTCCGCCGCCGTCTCTGCTGTTTATGAGAAAGTGAGCGTCGCTGTGTGTGACGTCCGCGGCGCTTTAGTGTTTTTTTTTTTAGCTGTAGTCAAAAATGGCGTCTGGCGACAGCGCAAACATCTTTCTTTAGAAGAAAGGCTTTTAGTGCTTCTACTTGTTGCGTCCAAGTTATTTAGACCAGAGGAAAGAGCCGCAGCGAACACCGCTTCAGTCGCCACGTTCGACAAACTGGGCGTTGTGGTGTGTGACGTACGCTACTCAGCGCTGATTGGCTCGGTTAGAAATCTCACGGGGAGGGGTTACTTGAATAGGAGAGTTACCAGACTCTTTCTCTGTGCAGAATTAAACAGAGGAGGAGTCTGGCAGGCCAGGCTATGATCCCGGTGCTCCATTTGGATGATTTAATGCCAGAAGGTTTGATTGGGTTTTGCGACAACAATATAATTCTACAGGCTTTCCAGATGTTTTAATCACATTTAATAACAAGGGGGTTGATTACTTAGCTCTCGTATCACCGGGTTGATTTGGATAGCTTTTGAATGTTCTCAAGTTATCTTTGTCTCATTGATCATGGTTGGCTGATCCTAAACATTTAGGTGGTTGAATAAGAAGGAATCTGTGAGGGGTGAATCCTGTTTTTGCAGCGTTATATTAACTAGATGTTTTATTGTTGTTTAATCCAGTCTATGCATATTTTATACCTTTTTTTAATGATTTCAGGTGGTAACCAAGATGGTAAGTTCAGCGTGGGATTCAGAGATGGAATCGTTCGGACGGTGGTCAGCCTCGACAGGGAGACCCAGGCAGCCTATGCTCTTGTCGTCGAAGCTATAGGTGAGTCTCCGAAGGAGAAACCTGACTTTTCATTAGGCTGTCATTTTTGTCACAACGCCATGTTTTCCCTTTATGTCAGACCTGCTGTGTTTTGCAACATTTGGTGATGAACGTAACGGGGGGGCTTACTGCACAGCTGCTGTGATTTCAACTATTGCTCAACTTCCTCTTTATTATTTTTAAAGACCAAAAACAAAGATTTTTGCCACAAAAAAACAACAAGATTATCCAGAACAGCTGAACTGGACCAAAGACACCAAGAGGAGGGCATAATGACATGATGGAAGACAAGAGAATTATACACATTTCCTCTAATTCACCAGCAGATTAAATAACCGGCTTCCCTTCATGCAGACATGCAGCTAGGTTGGGAAAAGCCTTTTTAAACACAGAACAGGTGTTTTATTTTACCTTGCCAACAGTTTTGCTTGCCGACTGCTAAACTTCCTCAGAGCTGACACTGATGGTGGCGTCACTTCCTACTCCGTTTATCCGCAAGGTAAAAAAAACCTTTTCTGTGTTTTAAAAAAGAACTAAAAATGGAATTACCGTAAATCCTCTAATATTAGCCTGTATTTAATTAACGGCCGGGTATCATATTTTGGCCGGTGTCGGAGTCGGCGGAGGTGAATAATGGCCGTTTTGTTATTGTGGCCAGGTGGAATGTGGTAACAAGCAAGTACGGGGGGCGGTTGTTTCATCGTCTCACTTTTGATTTGCCAGTGATAGACCGCGAGGGTAACTTTAACCGTGCGGTGACGAAGAGGAGGCGAAAATTTGATATCAAGTTCAAAGAGAACGTGCTGATTATGCTGCAGAACACTCTGGGGAGCAGTAGCAGGGGTTGTATGAACTAGTCACTAGTCGACTTCACCGCTCTATAGTGACTTTTTATGCCTGTCATCGACTAGTCGCTGTCACGTGATAATGACCGGCAAGATGCATTCCTCGTAAAAGACAGCAGCCTGCTGTCAGCAGGTGACAAGCTCCTGTGCGTCTGAAGGCAACTCGCTGTGCCAGAGCGTCGGTACTGACACCCGCCGTAAAACGGACATTTAACCAAATTGTGACCTTTACCCTCTTGCAATTTAACCTTCCCCTCACCCCATCCTAACCTTAACCAGCTTGCGCATGCAAAGCTCTGATTGTTGACGCGCTCCAGACATCTGCGTCCTGAGCACGGCCACAGTAACATTATCAAATCAGGTGTCGCCACCTCAAAAACTAATTTAACACGCGATCGTTCATGTCGGCTCATTTCCTTTTAAGTTTTCTGTCTTTTATTCTTGTATTTGTGCCTGATGCGTTTCGCTGCTGTGGATCGGGGCGCATCACCTGTTTTGTCCTCGGTGACGCACCTAACTGATGCGGCCGGCGAGCACTCCGCTGTTTTGCGGTCGGTAGATCTTTTACAACTGCAGTTCAAAGGTAACTCATGAGGTGAATATATATGAACCCAGGTAGCAGTTTCTCTTTAGGATTGAGAGGAGATGCAGGAAGATAATAAACAGGCAGGACAGAAAAATTGTCAAATACAAACAAGTTAGTTTTTGTACCTGCTGGTTGCAACAAACAGACACCATTGAAGGTAATCAGAAGTGAGGAACAGAAAATGAAATAATTATTTTAATGTTTAGAGCAGCAGGAACTCCGAGAGGCTGCAGGCGCATCAGTGAGTTTGCGGCCGCTGCGCTGGGGGAGGGGGGAGAGGGCTGAAGCAGAAACTACCGTTGTTAAAAGAAATGTGTTTAACTTTGAAAATGTGGGCGCAATATTAATTGTCAAAAACTCCAGCGAACCATTAGTTCATTTTGCTCAAATACAAATTGAGGCCTGCCTCTAATTCTGGTCCTCCTTCCAATAAAGGCCTGGAGCTTGATGAGCTTGAGTCAACTACAGGCCCGGGCCTGTATTAGAGGATTTACGGTAGAAACTAGGCACAGCAAGAACGTACCAAAGATGTGGGAAAGCCTGCTGTAACAATTACAATTTCCAAATACTCAACTACGGGATTTGGGTAACTTTTTGGAACTCCGTCATCAGTCATTTTCTAATCCGTTTATTCCTTGAGGAGCTAATGTCCAACTCCATCTGGCAGGAGGCAGAGACACCCTGGACAGGTCTGCTGTCCATCACAGGGACACAGAGACAAACATCCAGTCACACAAAGGGACAATTTAAAGCAGAAATCTAGAGTTTCTACCCAGAGGGTTCCATCTAGAGCAGGGTTCAGCAACCCGTGGCTCTTTCATCCACCTGATGCGGCTCTCTGCTTGTAAACGGATTAATGGATATTTAATTTCAATGTATTTTATTTTACTGCATTCAATTTTTTGTTATCTGTAGCCAATTCTAAATTTAAAGATTGTCTGCGTAAACCTGAACAGGTCACCTGCTTGTGCGTAATCAGATGTCTCTATAGGCGCTTTCTGAGCTGAAGAGGATATGAGGTTCTGGACTGTTCCTCAGACAGGCTCCTGGATGCTTTGCAGTGTTGGAGACAGGAACAAGCGCTAAACAGCCAAAGATTCATACTCAGGGAACATTTTCTAAGTGACAAGTCTCTGAGAGACCGGGTTTAGAAAACACAGAATCTTCATGCATGGTTCTGGTTCTGCGACGCGCTCCAAGCCCCCGATCTACACATCTCCAGCTCGCTGTCCACCTTACACACGCGCTGACAGCGAGCTGCGCTGAGCTCAGTGTCCATCTCAGATGTTCTGATGGGAATCTTTTCCTGATTGATGTAGCTACCTCCACGATGTGCGTAACGATTAAAATGTCAGCGCATCTGCAGGCTTGAGATTTCTCCCGTCAAAATAAACAATCAAATACGGGAAATATCCGGTCAGTGCGAACCCTGCCATTTAACTGTTTCACCTTCTTGTGAAGATTGTTGCTAACAGAAACATTAAACCTGATGAACACCAGAGCCACGCACACTGCGCCGTTATCTTTGTCAGTGTAAACGAGGAAAATAAACGAATTGATTGTAGGGATGCTCCGATTGATCGGCCACAGATAATTATCGGCCGATTTTCCTGCAAAAGTCTGTGATCGCCGATCACTGCCTTTCATTTCCGATCTGGCACTGGCGCTTACTCTTCCCGGCCGGTAGTTCACCCTTCCGCTTCTCCCCGCTTAGTGTGCATGCGTGTGGCGGCAAACCCGCAAAGACAAACATGTCTGCCGTGTGGAACTTCTTTACGGTGTGCGAGAGTGATATTAAGTTTGCGTCTTGCAACACTTGCAACGAAAACATACCCCGTGGAGGAAGCACTTCAAAAAAGTTCAACACAACGAATTTGATCCGACATTTAAAGACTAAACACTTGGCGGAGCACGGTGAGTTTTTGAGGCTCACCGCAGACAATGAAAAGAAGCCTGCTAATGCAGCCACAGTCAGACGGCAGCTAACGCAGCCGACGCTTGGAAACACTCGCCCATATGAGCGTGACAGTCAAAAGGCTAAGCAAATTACCCGTAAAATCATCGAGTTTATTGGACTAGACGACCAGCCTTTTTCAGTTGTGGAAGACGCCGGATTCCGCCGACTACTAACCCACTTGGAACCTCGCTACATGCTACCGGGACGTAAATATTTCGCCAACGTAGTCCTTCCAGAGCTCCACCAGACAGTGTATTCTTTCATCGAGGGACTCCTTAAAGAAAGCGTCTCATCCTCTGTGAGTTTCACAAGTGACATTTGGAGCTCAGATGTCAGTCCTGTGTCAGTGCTGAGCTTAACAGCTCACTGGATGTATCTGAATGTATCCTTGGTTACTTAATTTGATTCAGGCGGTGATGTGAGATACTGACTTTTTTTGCACTATTTGTAGCCTAAAGAGAGCCTTAATGTTTTCAATTTCTTATAAATTGTTACTGATATTACATAATTTGAAGTGAAGTAAAACCATGTTTTTTCTGAATTAATATGTAACACATGCATTAGAACTCACCATAGCTAAATGAACGATTTACAGCCAATCTATGTAATTGGTATCGGTAATCGGCTGATCGGCCATGATCGGCCTCTTGGCTGATCGGTGTCAGTGATCGGCAGATTAAAACCTGATCGGAGCATCCCTAATTGATTGGATCCTTTTCTTACCTTTTCAACAATGTTTAATGCAAAGTTTAGTTCAGTACAAAGTTTAATTACAACAGTCCAACGAGACAGAGCCTGGATTTGTATTCTGAACAGTTATGTGTGATGCCTCAAAAAGCGTCACCTCAACTATTAAAACCACTAGCAGGGTGAAAAATATCGAAATATTGCAGCACAGACAGGCTTCAACTTTTGGATCAATTTTATACAAACCGTTTTATTAATTATCTTCTGTTGAAGGATAACTTTGAGGTACATGAGTGAACAGTATTGGTTGCTGTCACCTGTTGTGATCGGTTAAAGCAGCTCTCTGCTGTCTGAGGGTAGGCTCCGCCCACAACGCCGCGGCTGCTGCGGCTCCCAGTGTTTTCTTTACTGTGGGAAACGGGTAATAATGGCTCTTTGATGGGAAAAGGTTACCGACCCCTGGTCTAGAGGCAAAATAACTTTAATGCCCCTTTCCCTACTTCTGTGATTACGACGATAAGCAACACTTTTCATCCGTGAACGCTCACCTCTAGCCGGCAAACACAGCTGAAACACGTTATTTTACGAAATTTGCATAATTTACTATATGTGTATATATGTGTGTGTGTGTGTGTGTGTGTGTGTGTGTGTGTGTGTGTGTGTGTGTGTGTGTGTGTGTGTGTGTATGTTAATGTATATACAGTGATCCCTCGCTACTTCGCGGTTCGTTTATCGCAGATTCACGACTTCGCGGATTTTTTCTTTGGAGCCTCATTCAAGGGAAAATCGCTGATTCGTGGCATTTTTCACCGATTCGCGGTATTTTTCTATGCAAAATATCAAGAAATTCCTGTTTTTTTCATCATAAAATGCACTTTTTGTAATAAAACTATAAATAAACCAAGTAAAATATGTAAAGGGAGGGTTTTAAAAGTCTGAATACTGAATACGTACCTGTTAAATAAATACTGTAAATATGGTGTCCTTACTTCGCGGATTTTCACCTATCGCGGCCAGGTCTGGAACGCAGCTACCGCGATAAACGAGGGATCACTGTACATATATATATATATATATATATATATATATATATATATATATATACATACATTCAGCTAGTAGAAGCTAACCGTTAGCATTAGCAACTCCACCACACAGCAGAACTCCTCCAGGCTTGTGTCATTTGTGGAGATGAAACATCAGCGTTGCAGAGCAAACAGAGTCAGTGGTAGAGTCGTGTTGCTGTTATCCAATCAGAGGAGAGATGTCCAAATATAAGGAAATAAGACTCCAGATCCTGCCAGCTAAAGCTACTTTCTCCTCCAGCTGACTTCTACGTCCTCAAACAGGAGCATCTGGGGAGTTTTTCCCCAGAGAAGAAAGGCATTGTTTCCTACTAGAGACCACTGCTGGTGTATTAAAATAAGAGTGAAGTTGGCCTTTAATTGTTGGCGGGTGAAATGGATCCTACGCTCGATCACTCGGATGATGTTTGCACCAGTTTTCTAACTGATGGTTTGTTTCTCTTCATAGACAATGGTCCAACAGGCAGTCGACGGACAGGCACCGCCACCGTATACGTGGAAGTCCTGGACGTTAACGACAACAAGCCCATCTTCCTCCAGAACACCTACGAGACCAGCGTTCTGGAAACCGTCCCACGGGGAACGAGCATCCTTCAGGTACGCACACGTCTAAAAACAAACAGCTCCAGCAGTGAATCCAACACTTGATTTCGTTTTCATCCTTTATTTATTTGTTTATTTATTTATTTAAAGTTCACTAAATTATTTACAGAGTGCTGTAGTTTGGGTGGAGGCGTCTCCTGTCGTTATGGGGAGCTCTCCATGTGTCGAGGCCATCGCGGGAGGAGTTTGTCCCAGAGCACCTGAATCGGCAGATTGATGGCGTTTTCTGCCGCGGGGTGATTAGCTGTGCCACGCAGAAGAATGATGTTGTCCCCAGATTTTGAAAATGAGTTTGGAAATTAAAAATTCATGTCCAAACAATCATATGAACTGAATTTAGATGCTGTCCATTAGGCTTTGAATCAAGCCGTGAAAGTAAGTCATTATGAGTTCTACCGCCTCCATCGTTCCTTTGAAATGTGTTTTTTTTTTTGACATTCAGGATAAATCCAGTTACCTGCCTCAAATGCTTTTCTCATTCATTCATTTTAAAGCGTTTTGTGACAGGAAACCAAAACAAAAATTACAAAAGTTTTTTCTACATTCTCAGAACTAAACATTTTGGCTGCCGACCAAGATTAGAATCAGATTTCAGTGACATAGTCAAAAAGGCAGGGCATAGTGAGCGGAGGCTCGGCGCTGGCCTCCGTCTGTGGTGTCTCTGACCCCGGAGACCTGGACACGCGTGTCCTGTCCCGCTGCTGTGGCCTGCGGTGAGGCGGACGCCTGAAGGACAGGTTGTAGGTGCGTCGGTACGAGCCCAGCCTCTTCCACATCTTCAGCTGCGGCTCGGTGGACAAACCTCGCCCGCGCCGATTGCACCTCTCCCCCGGTGTGCAGCTCCCCTCCACGTCTTCGTCCTGATCGGAGCGTCGGCACACAGCCAGGAAGGCCGCTAGCCCCGCCAGCAGCAGCGAAAGGCCCAGCACCACCATGATGGTGAACTCCGGGTCGTGAATGTGTGACGGAGGCTTTGGGATGACGGGAGAAGTGGTGGTGGCTGTCAGGCTGGACAGGGTGATGTTGGAGTTGGTGTAGGGCTCACTGGCGTTCATGACGTCTCTGCCCTGCAGAGGAAGCAAAAGGTGTTGATCGTGTTTGTTTTTGTGTTTCCGATCAGCTTTTTAGTTCCAAAAGTGCTACGGCTGCGTTCCTCTGTTTAGCCTCGCTGCCCCAAGCATCACCAAGCTAAGGAGCTCCATCTGGACGCTTATTTGGTGCTTACACCGAAGGGCTTACATCACACGTACACACACACTCACAAATAAACACAGAAAGTCACGCATGCACACGCAGAAGCAGTGAATGTTTGACATTTGTGGCAATTATGTAGCTATTAAATCAAGAACCACAACAGTCCGTGCTTGACAGGCTTTTTTCAGCGTAAAACAAATTGGGTTTATTAAAATGCTCCTTGTAAAATGCAAAGCGCCCACCTCCTCCATCGCAGCCTCCAATTATCCCCCCCACTTTCATTCTGCGTGACCCCCACCCCACCATCTTCAGCACAGTAACATTTATAAATGTCATCGTCCCTAATTCAGCGGAGACAAAGCATGGCTTATCGGTTTAAGGGAAACACATTGGGACGTGAAATTATTTTTGAGACCAAATGCCAGGAAAGCTGTGAAAAGGCCAGTGGAGCAGGATGACTCGTTAGAGAGTCAGTTCATTAGTCAGCTCCTCCGAGTGCTACGCCCCCCCCCCCCCCCCCCCCCCACACACACACACACACACACACACAGGACAAACTCAGCAGCTCCTCACATTGCAGCTTTTGCATATTTTTGAAAAGACGATGCTGCTTCTTACGAGCTCTCCTGCTCGGTACGAGCTGACCGCTCAGCTGCATCTGTCGTCTCTTTAACTGTTTGATAGTTTAGTCTGAACAAATATTCACTTTGAACCTCTAAGTGATTTCTTATAGGTGCTTGAAATGCTTGAAAATGCTTTGACTTTAATGTGGTCTATTTAAAACTCTGTATTTTTTAAGTGTTTATCAGTGTCGCTAAAAGTGGTTATGGCATTGGAAACGTTTATTTTATGCGGCAAGAAAGTGAAATAATCAGGTTTACAGGTGAAATATGGTGCAAAAGTTGCTTTATGTTAGTAACTCAACTTAAATGGTGAAACTAATATATGAGGCCGACTCATTCCTTGCATAGCCAGGTATTTCAAGCCTTTATTGGTAAAACTGTGATGATTGTGGCTTACAGCTGATGAAAGCCCCACATTCAAACTCTGACTATAAGAATATTGTGAAAAGACTCAAAGTGTTGCACTCATGGACGTAATTTTCACTTTAGAAGTGGGGGGGGGGGACACTGGGGGGGGGGGGGGGGGGGGGTATCTATACAGTATGTTCTAATGGGAAACAGGCTTCAACACAAACGGTTGTTTTCTGCTTGGTCCTAGAGCTCAACCAGTGTCAATTTAATATAGCGTAAAATTGTTTTTGGATGGTAAAAAGTGCAGGGGTCAAAACTTGACTTTGGAAAAAGTGGGGGGGGGGGACATGTCCCCCCCTGTCCCCCCCCAAAATTACGTCCATGGTTGCACTCTGATCAGCTGGTGAATCCAGAACACCTGCAGAGGGTTGCTGAGCCTTTAGATGGTCTCTCAGTCTGAGTTGGATTTCCATATTTATTTCATTTCATATTATTTTTTCTAATTTCACATGTAAACTATATTTATTTGAATAAAACATCACAGTTAGGGGGTGCTGGAAAATCTTGAAATTTTACCTTGATTGTGTTTGAAAAGGATTTTAGCAACGATTGAATCCTGTTCTTTTACCCTTATTTACAATTAGTAATAGTAGTAGTAGCAATAGTAGTAGTAGTAAGTAGTATTGTGACAATTTGCCACAAGATCTAATTAGTCTACGAAGGGTTAAAATGCTAGTTTGAACATGTTTTAATGTGTTTCTGTGGAAAACTCTTTTAGAACAGCCTCAGTTTGGAGAAACTGGTATAGGTTCTGACTGGACAGAAAGGGTTTCTGCTTTCTTAAATTATTGCCAACTTTACCTTATTAATTTTTACACCACTAAAAATCCCACGTTATGTTGTTAGCCATGAAATTAGCTATGGCGCTAGCTAGCCGGTGGAATTTCATCAACATTCGTCCTGAATAATAGATTGTTACAACTGTAATGTTTTCATTAGGGCCATGACTCGATTAAAAAATTTAATCTAAATAATTAGAGGCTTTGTAAGTAATTAATCTAAATTAATCGCATATTTAGAGTGTTTCTGTTTTAACTTAAACTTCTGTTTTCAACTTTGACACGTTGTTTGTGATTGTTTACAGAGTAGTGAGAACACGGAGCGTTCTCCCAGCGGCAGCCAGGTGCCTCTCGTTTGTCTGACTACTTTCATAAACTACTGTTAGGGCACAGAATTATCCCGTCTGGTGCTTTCAGCGCTGCACAGATGTTACGTAAATGTTAAAAATATAGCTTACCGCAACTTTTGTAAAGTTTCCGGTGCCACCGGGCAGCCGCAGCAGTAACGATCTCTGAAAAATGTCCGCAACACGGACTCCGTTGTTGTCTAGAAGTTTTTTTTTTCCAAGTTAAGAAAAGAGGCGGACGTGTTTCCTAAATCCTGCATCAGTCCAAGCAAGGCAACTTCTTTCTGTTTTTATTCCGTTTTAGTAGCCATTAGCACTGTGCATTGTTGTGTGCGTCAGTGATATTCGGTCTATGAGGAAATCGTGCAATGACAAAGGTTCCGCCTTGCTGGAAATACAAGCTGCGATTAAATGTGTAAATTTTTTTAACGCGTCATTTTTTTCTAATTAATTTATCACAATTAACGCGTTAAAGTCCCGGCCCTAGTTTTCATACATGTGGCTGTTTTGTAGCTGCACCATAACAGCTCTGTTGTGCTTTCTTAAATTATTGCCAACTTTACCTTATTAATTTTTACACCACTAAAAATCCCACGTTATGTTGTTAGCCATGAAATTAGCTATTAGCGGAAATGTGCTTTAAACTGTATTTTTACTAACTTTTCAGAAGTCTCCCTTCTTAGATTTATTGTTTGTCCGTAAAATAAGTTTCGCATTTACAGTTAAAGTGTTCAAGGTATCATGTTCTGTATCTGATTTCCTCTCTATCAAAATGTTATTTATGGTAACTTTATCATATTTTGATGACTTCAATTCCTATAGATGTGAAGAAATAACATTTTACCTTTACATATATGTGGTTCAGAGATGTGTAACAGTGTCGTTTTCAGGTGGACCTGGAGTGAATTTCTCTGTATGTCAGAAAGTTTCATTAACAAACCAAAACTGAACCCTGCAGTTAAAACTAGTTTTTGATAACTCCAGATTTTCAGCTCACTCTAGGTCTTAAATGTGTTTAGAAGCATCCTGCTAGCCTTAGCATTAGTGTCGTTCTGATGTGGAAAACAGGAAGAGTTACGTTAGTCCGGCCGTTGTCCTCCAGAGATCAGCTCTTTTTTAGAACGGTAATAAGCTTTTAT